GAATATGTGTGAATTACCTAATCGCACTTAGCTTGGTTTCTTCATTTAGAAAATTGAGAAAATACTTTCTTCACAAGGTAAAGAGAAAGACTAAATAAAATACTGTCTGTAATTGCTTTGAATTTGAAGTGAAATGTCCCTTTTAAGTCCCCCCTTTCCAAATGAAGCCATCCATGATATAATGATAATGGCGCCCAGGACTGCTCAGTATGTCTGTCATCACACATTGTGTGGCCACCAGATCCTTAACAAGGGCTTCTCGCTCCACAGAAGATTAGAGTGATAGTATCTGAGGCCCTTATATCTTTCCCTGAAAAGTTGTCTTGTCATGATAAATTTAAACATTGATTTAGAATTAATTTAATGAGAAGAATTATTCACCTTTTCTATGTTGTCTTTACAGGTCAGGAAAATCTTTCTTCCTACTGGAATCTTGTTAGATTTGGATTTCTTTTTCTATCCAGCATGTAGTCATAGACTAACATTCAGACTACCTTTTAGGTCAGGTATGTAATCCTAAAATACAAAAGCATGTAGTAAGGGGGTCTCTGTGATCAGGCTTTTCACTAGGTTTTGCCTCAGTAACAAACAATTTCAAGAATTCAGTGGTTTTGGGCCATGTTACAAGTCAGCTTTGGTTCAGCTGTAGCTCAGCTCCAACTGTGTCTCCCTTTCCATCCCCAGAAGAAGGCACAGCCCAATCTGAGACTTACTCAAGACCATGCCACGAGTCTCACGCCTCTGTTCAGGTGTGGCATGAGTCACTGCAGCTCACGATCCAGTGGCCACAGCAAGTCACGTGCCCAAAAAAGGTGACCCAAAAGGTGAAAGCATACTCCCACACAGGGCCAATCCCAGGGAAGGATTCTCTATAGATGCGCCCTGCAGAGAGGGACAGTGAATAACTGGGAGTAATAGAGAATCAACCACAATAACCAAAAATTATCACAGCTCCACCAATTAGATTCCAAATTCATGTTTTCAACACATAGGTCATCAAGGTAGAGGAAACTATGTTATGAATTTGCCATCATCTCAACTGGTGCTTCCTCTCGGATTCTTATGATTCTCATGGAGAAGAATGACCAATTCCACTGCCTCTGAGAAGCTGTCATTCCTCCCAGCCATCCTCAGTCCTCAGTGGCCTGAGGGGAAAAAAACGGGTTTGCAGAAAGAAAGAGTAATTTTCCCAGCAGATAAGAACCAAAGGGCCACCCTATGGAATCTTCTGAGAGTCAACTTTGTCCACCATGTTCTTTTTCAATGAATATGTGCACATGTGAGGCCACCTGGGCAAAGCCATTAGTGTCCTCAGCTGACATTGATGGAGTCAAGAGGTGGATGACGAACAGTCAGACCAGCCATTGAAGCGAGTCCTAGACTGCTTTAAAGAGCAAGGAGGAATATGGCACAAGGCCAAAGCCAAGGTCCCAGTGTGTGTGCTTGTGTGGCCACAGTCACAGGATCCAAAGAGAGGATAGCTAAGCCTCACTGATTTTATTTGCAATATTTTAAACCTTTTGAGTTCAGTGAACCCCGAGTGCATTCTTGTCAAGCATTTCTTTTTCTACTAATATTTAAACCTGTGTATTCTTAAAGTGAAATTTAATCTAGGTATTTCAGTTTCGTAGCAAAGACAGAGATCATCAAAAAATTGTTTTGTCAGTAATATTTGACGTCCAAGGGAGCTTTTTAAGCAACTTTTCTTACAGAGGAAGCTGTTTTGCTAGAGCTTTAAAATCAGATCCCCTCAAGTTCTCATTTTAGTCTGGAAACCCAAAGTTATGTTTTGATTTGGATTTCATTCTTCCGTGCCTCACCACCCCATTTGAAGGCACGTGGAATGATGTCACGGGAGGCCTGGTTGAGAAACTCTGGATTTAGGGTGCTGTTGCCTCCTCGCTATTTTTATTAGTTATTTTTCTGCAGGCGCCTATATTTTGTTAGCCTACCATGGAACACAGACGTTTTTCCCAGGATGTGCAAATTGAAATCTTCCAAAATTTGACTCCACAGAGCTCTAAGTTTTTAGAAAGTCTCAGTGTTTTACGAATTAGGAGGAAAAAAATCGTTGTTAAACTGTATTTTTTTCCCTAACAAAACATCACGTAACAGTTAGCAGGAGGATCCCACTTTTGAAAGTTAGAAAAAAAGAGATATCATGTAAACACAGGTTAGCTAGTAAAAGTGATGGATGAAAGTCTATTATGGGAATTAAAGACTTCTCTGTACTTAATTTTGGCTAATATTTCTACTAGAATTATTTATATTATTTTATAATATATATTTAATATAATATAAAGAATATATCATAATATCTATATATTTACTATGTTTTATAATATAAATTTTATGACATATAATGTTTACCTATTCTATAACATAGTATTTATATAACATTTATATAATAAATATAAATAATCTGTTATAGTTTTGATCAGGTTCTCCACATATTGCTGCTTTAAAAAATTAATATTTAGCCTTGGGTCACAGGGTAGCTGGCGTTCATCTATAAGGATGGTGGAGATTAGACATTTCTAAAAATTAATAAACAGATGTTCTCAATGCCTGTGTGCAATCGTGTTATTTCAGATGCTAAGGGAAAGTTAGAGGACAAGGATGCTCATCAAGGGCGAGAAGCTGTTGGTATCATTCAACCCGTGTATCCCGGTGTGGTGGTTCTCAGCGTGTGTTCCTGGAGCAGCAGCATCCCCTGGGAACTTGTTAGACGTGCAAATTCTTGGGGTCCAACCCAAACCTGCTGAATCAGAAACCCCAAGTCATCCAGCTGGTCCTGATGCAGATAAAGCTTGAGCGCTTTCGTCAGGATGGCCAAGAGTGTGGGCAGGGGAGCTTCACAGGGACACTTCTGCCACATGCCAGCGGATGGGAACTGGAGCGTCTCACTTAACCTCTCTGTGCCTCAGTTTCCTCCTCATGGGGATAATGATGGTACTTGCTCGCAGGGTTGGTATGAGGTTAAGTTCACAAATAGAAAGCACTCAGAAGAGTGGCTGGTACAAAGGGAGGTAGTGTTATCTATTTATGATGATGATTATGGTTATTATTGATCTGAAGCTTTATTATTATTATTACTTATCTGAATCTTTTGTATTTGCCATTGTTATTATTTATCTGCATCTTTCCCACTTTGGACCACTTCTGACTGTACTCCTGTTTATTATTTGCATATGAATTTCTTCTAACTGGTCAGTGGCTTTCTGGCCATTTACAGGTTGATTTCTCTCTGACAGGACAGTGTGTTCCAGCTCACTGTGGCTGATTTCTTTGTCATCCATTCTTATAAGCTCCCCTTTCTTTGATAGAGTTTTTTTCCTCCCTGTGGATGATGATGGAAACTCCCTTTCCATTTTTTCCATTCTCATCATTTTGTCCCTAACACTGGAAGCGTAGTTCTTATAGCTAAGAAATTTTTCCAATGTGCCTACTGTTGAGTTCTGTTTCAAAAATGTGTTTGTTTTTTTTTCTTTATCTCCAGAAAGCAACTGCTACACAGCATAAGCCCCAAATGACTTCACGCCATGTATATGTTATTGGCTTGAAGTACAAGAGGGTGACATTGACCTCTCTATGTAACAATTTCAAGGACTTAACTTCAACAAAGATATCTCCATTCTAAGAATTACAGTCCCAACCTACATGTTGGAACAATATAATGAAAACTGAAGAGATAAACACAATTTCTAGAGATGAAGGAAAACTACTAATGGTTTGTATGGAATATTGCTTATTTGCAGATTTAGAAGAAGGAACATTAGAGGAGAATATCTTGTATCATTCCTTCCCCCCTTAACTTTTGGGAAACCGTTATTGTCCCTTAACATTTTAGAAGTTGAACCAGGTAAATTGCAGAATCACTAAGAAAAAAAAAAAAAAAACCTGAGGCAGTCACATCAAATTATCAGAGTGTGTGTGTCAACAGTGAAGTAAATTTCATAAAAAAAAGTCTGCTGAGGAATAAAATGGTATAAATTAGGAGCATATAATGAAGTGCAAATGATAAAGCATACTTGTAAATTGATAGGTGCAAAGAAGGAGATGCTGGATGTTAACAGAGTCGTGAGGAAGAGGTCGTTTGCCAAATACACTGTGAACACACTGGGAGAATCCAGTGTACAAGAGGCCATACAGGTTGATAATTGGGACCATTTAAATGATAAATGAGTAATTATTTACAGTAATTGGAGGACCAGAAAAGAAGTGTGAAGTGAATGTGTGCCTCTGGGTGTGAGACAGACAAAAAACATGAGGAGATATATATATAAATATATATATATACACACCCATATATATGTATGGCTTAGGAAGAAGTATATCAGAAAAGTAGGATGCAAAAGAACCTCTTGAATTTAGAACAGATTACATTAAACTTTGGAGGTTTAAGAGGGATTCACGGGGTTCTGACAAGAACTCTGGTCTAACTTCCAAAGACTTTGGAGCTCGTTCTTTCTGCCATGAACCATCCCTGTAATAAAGACGAGTCACCAACCTCCCAGGTCTCAGTCTCCTCCTCTGAAAAATGTGTGTCAAATGCCCTGGTTCTGACAATCTTTTCAACCCTAATGTTCTATGACTCAACAGCAATAATGCATTTCCACAGGCGGTAAAAATATTCTAGACTCTTCCCTTCCAATTCTCACTGTTTACTTCCTCTGCACTTCCCCTTCCTGCCTCCCTGCCTGACGGTAAGTTGAGAGTGGGCCTCAATGGGGGTGAGTTAACCCACACTTTCCAGAGTGTTCTTCCATTGAGCTCCCTCCAGAGAGGGGGATTCTCCTGTGACGGCTGTGGTTGGGGCTTCAATTTCATTCTTAAAACACTCTTTGAAGCGTTACTCTATTCTGGGCACTGTGCCAGATTACCAGGGATTGGAAGGTGAATGCTGTGGTCCGGTCTGTGGGGAATCATTCAGGGTCAGTTTCACTGGGTCGGTTTCTTAGTAAACACCTGTGAACTCCACCTGTTCTCCTTTCTTTCAGGCAGTAGCAGAATCCCATGGTAGCCAGGTGGGTGAAGGGGAGCGAGGACGTCCCACCTGCCTTGAAGAAGTCGCCTTCTGACCCGCTGAGTGAGTTACCAGGTAGTAAACAGTACTGAGGGCACGCAGGGTGTTGAGAGGGAGGGAGCAGGTGTTAACCCTTTGAGTACTGTCCTCCAGACCCTCTTTTCTGCAGAGAGATGCTAAACCCAACACCCTCCCATCCTGAGGCTCTATGTCTCATTCTCCCATTTATGACCAACAACTTCTGACAGCTATTGGTCTCATTAACTCTAACGCGAGATGCACAGAAATGCAGCAAAAAAGCTTTCAGCAGAAAGAGGAAAAAGATCCAGCTCATCCCAAGCCTGGCCTGTTGCCCCTTTGAAAGAGAGGTGAAAACAGAAGCTTCATGGCACTGCCTTCATATAAACAGGGCCAAGTTTTCCAGAATCTGGCGGACGGCTGGGCTTGGAGGTTTGCTTGTGCCCGCAGGATACTGGTGTATCACTCACATTGGAAAACTTAAGCCTGTTTTTATTTCAGTGGATTGAATGGCATGCACTTTCCCCTAGCAGTTTCTTTTTTTAAAAAAAAAGAAGTACATACAGTTTCTTGTACATGAGCATCATTTGTCTTTGGCAGTGCTGGTGTTCTGGGCTTGGCCGTGCATTTCGGCATGCCAGCATGGCGTTTTGTTTCCAAACTATCGTTGTGGTCTCTTTCCTCTTGGTTACTGAGAGGTGCTGCAGAGGGTCTGATAAAGCCCACGCTCGTCAATTATATTCTGTACGTTTCTTCTAAATTGATCCCCAGATAAGTAGAGTAGGCTTCAAACAGTAAAATAAATTCTGAATGACTTATGGCCCTTCTTTGCAATGAAAATGGAAAAGTGACTTTCCTTTCCAAGAAAATAAAACCATGTCAAGGGACATTCAGTAAAGGACACACTCTTAATAATGTAACAGGAAAATGAAAAAGACCAGCAGATCCACTGCATCCTCAACCGGTGTAGCCTCTGATGGATACAGTTTCAGTTTCCTTGAAGGGATTTACCCAGAGGATTACTTTCAAAACTTCTATTGAGATAATGCTGCTATCACAGCAAAGATTACTGCATGAATTACAGACCAGTGTATACGGGTTCCTTTTTAAAGAGGGGGAATTTTTTTATCCTTAAAATACTAATGAGGTGGAAAAAAAACATGCCAACCAGGTAGAGTTACCCGGTAATCTCGCACATTATCTTTTTCAAGGAATGTAGGGGGAATTTATTTTAGTCCCAGGCAGGGACTATAAGATGCTGTGTGGCCTCACACGCAGCTTGCTCCTGTCATTAATGCAGGGCAGAGCATCCCCTGGGGCTCAGCGTGGGAGCCTGGCACTTCTAGGTAGGTCCGTTCTGCTACTTATTTATTTATTCATTAGCTCTTTACAATCGATTCCTATGCTGGTTCTGCTTAGTCCTAAAGAAGTAAAGCGGAATTTGTGTGGCACATCTAAATGTCACACCTGTTATGGTATATCGACAGCGCTTTTCTAAGAATAACCAGCACATGGATCAAGCCATTAATAAAACTTCATTATTCCCTATGTGGTTTTTTTTGGTTGTTTGATAATTCAGTCTTTTCCAGTGTAATTAGCAGCTAGGACTGGTCATGGATTCTAGATTATTCATTGGATTAGGGGAAAAAATGAATTGCTATAACAGGGAATGTTGTGTAAAAGGGTAGGGTTTTTAAAATTTTAGTAATACTATGTAAGTTTTAAAAATTTGTATTCATATTCTCCATTGCTATATCAAGAACTATCTTATAGATGGTACATTTTAGTTATATTGGTACTGACCCTATGCTTGGTCAATTTATTTTTACATTTTTTATAATTAGAAATCCACGATAGCTGAATATACAAAAATATTCATGATACTCTGCGGGGTAAATGTGTATGACTGTGATATCACAAAGATAAGATTAGCATCATTTTTTGAGTGTGAGCTCTGTTTTGGCACTTTATAGCCATTGTCTAATTTAACCATCACAAAAACCTTGAGGAGTAGGCTTTATTCCAGTTTTAAAGATCAATGAGCTCTGGTCCAGAGAGGTTAAATAGCTTGCTGAGAGTCACACAGTAAATAAATTGGAGTCAACGTTTAACCCAGGTTTACTTGTCTCCAAAGTCTGTGCTCCTCACTCTACCCTACTGATTTCCTCAAGCACAAATCAATTAGTCTTGCCTTCAGAATTCTCCTTTGTTGCGTACATCCATATACACTCACTTATTTGACATAATTATCCTATTTCTATTTTCTGGACATTCCACCACATGTGACTGTAATGGAACGCCTTTTTTTTTTCATTTCCTTAGGGGTTCCCAAGAGCCTGACAATGGATGCCATTCACATTAGCATGTCCAGTGCTCCTCTGGTGAAGCACAGTGTGGGAGCTGGACACAAGACCCACCGGCCCCGAGTCATGTCCAAGAGTGGACACAGCAACGTGAGGATCGACAAAGTGGACGGCATATACTTACTCTACCTTCAAGACTTGTGGACTACTGTTATTGACATGAAGTGGAGATACAAGCTCACCCTGTTTGCTGCCACCTTCGTGATGACCTGGTTCCTTTTTGGAGTAATCTACTACGCCATTGCGTTTATTCATGGGGACTTAGAACCCAGTGAGCGTATTTCAAATCACAACCCCTGCATCATGAAAGTGGACTCTCTCACAGGTGCCTTTCTCTTTTCCCTAGAATCCCAGACAACCATTGGCTATGGAGTCCGTTCCATCACAGAGGAATGTCCTCATGCCATTTTCCTGTTGGTTGCTCAGTTGGTCATCACGACCTTGATTGAGATCTTCATCACGGGCACCTTCCTGGCAAAAATAGCCAGACCCAAAAAGCGAGCAGAGACCATCAAGTTCAGCCACTGTGCTGTCATCACCAAGCAGAACGGGAAGCTGTGCTTGGTCATCCAAGTGGCCAACATGAGGAAGAGTCTCCTGATTCAGTGCCAGCTCTCCGGCAAGCTCCTCCAGACCCATGTCACCAAGGAGGGGGAGCGGATCCTCCTCAACCAAGCCACCGTCAAATTCCACGTGGACTCTTCTTCCGAGAGCCCCTTCCTCATTTTGCCCATGACATTCTACCACGTGCTGGATGAGACAAGCCCCCTGAGAGACCTCACACCGCAAAACCTGAAGGAGAAGGAGTTTGAACTTGTGGTCCTCCTCAACGCCACCGTGGAATCCACCAGCGCTGTCTGCCAGAGCCGCACATCTTATATCCCAGAGGAGATCTACTGGGGTTTTGAGTTTGTGCCTGTGGTTTCTCTCTCCAAAAACGGAAAGTATGTGGCTGATTTCAGTCAGTTTGAGCAGATCCGGAAGAGCTCAGACTGTACCTTTTACTGTGCGGATTCTGAGAAGCAGAAACTTGAGGAGAAGTACAGGCAGGAGGATCAGAGGGAAAGAGAACTGAGAACACTTTTGTTACAACAGAGCAACGTCTGATGGCCGTGGTGTTGCCTCGGTTTAACTCTGCCAACTGTTTCCACATCTGAGCTCGCTCCAAACGCAAAGGTCACTGTGAAAGTGAAAATGTGTAGACACACTCTAAAAAACCTCACAGACTACAAAATTGATCTTTTCCTTTGTTCTGGTGGCTAAATACGCATTTCCATGTTTGAGAGGGTTCCTTTTAAATGCTTTGTCTGAAGCGAACTCTCAAAATTCAAATTTTCTAAAATGGGGCTACATTTCAAAGAACTTGGTGTAGAGCAATTGAATAAAATGTCCTGCTGGATGGACAGACGTTTAGCAATGCTGATATTGAAGGGAAATGCATTTCTATACAAGGATATCAGATTTATTCAATCCAAGTATCAAAGATATTGTGGTCAAGAGTTGAAATGTGATTCGGTATTCATTAATATCATCGCTCTAAAACACTCTTTTTTCCATCATAGAAAATGTTATATATAATGGCTGCTACCTGGTGATACCTCAACAGGGGCAAGAGGACTCTGTACTCACAAAATGCAATGATTCCATTTTCACCTCTCTTCCGTGGATTTAATTGTACGGAATGAAATTGATCATATCAGGAATTAACAGTTGTGAAAACAGATACAAATGCAGCTGATGCCATTGTCACACTAATTTTTTTGTTGGAATGTACTAGCCCATGTCTATTCGAAATGTGGTCTGCAGACCAGCAGCATCAGTACCATCTCGAAGTTTTTGCAACGTAAACTCTCCAGCGCCACCCGGACTTGGAGAATCAGAGTCTGTCTCTTAACAAGACCACCAAGCGGTTTGTGTACCCGTGAAAGTTTGAAAAGCTCCACTCCAGACAATGTTTGCAAAGCAACTTTCTGAAGCCATGGGGCTCTCTGGGTCCCATGTCCACGTGGCCTCCAGATCTGTCCTTCTCTCTTCAGTTCATTATCATGGACCAATAGTCCTTTCAGCCATCTCATTCCTTGTCTGTTAAAATACCTTTGTCCACAAAGGAAGTGCCACTGACATTCCAAGAGCAAAATAAAATTCTTGAGAGTAATGGTTGTCTTACTCATGCTAAGAACATGCTCGCTGATTAGAATTCGCGCAAAAGGAAAATTAAGCTGAGTAACAATCCAGGAAATATGCTCGGATGCTGAAGTCTGTAATGTTGGATGGGGCCATGAGGAAGAAGAGGAGCTATGGATGAAGAGTTCATATGCAAATGACTCCTTGATAACGTGTAAAGAATGCCCTCAGTATTTAAATAAATCTCACACAACTCAGTGTTATAGAGGTAACATTTTGCTTCTGGAAGAATTTAGGGGCCTGGTATCCTGCATTTCTTTGGGGGTAGAGAATAAAGGGGCTAGGATTGGCTTAATGTGCTAAAGGTGAATTCTCATTTCATTCAAACAGGGACAAATTTGCATATTCACCCAGGAAGACTGTATGTGTGCAGGTGCTACATGGACATATGTGTGAGCTCACATATACACGCACACACCAACACACACAGGCACACACACTTTGGCTCTTCAGGTATAATTGTGGAAATGATCAGTGAAAGACATTTGCTATTAAGAGAACAAGTCCTTGGGGCTGGCCCAGTGGTGTAGTGGTTAAGTTCAGCGTACTCCACTTCGGTGGCCCGGGCTCACAGGTTCAGATCCCAGGCACAGACCTATACCACTTGTCTGCCATCCCACATATAAAGTGGAGGAAGATTAGCACAGCTGTTAGCTCAGGGCTAATCTTCCTCAAGCCAAAAAAAAAAAAAAAAACGAGGAAGATTGGCAACAGATGTTAGCTCAGGGCTAATCTTCCTCAGCAAAAAAAAAAAAACAGAGAGAGAGAGCAAGTTCTTGAAAAATATGCTCATGCATATTTGGTTCTATAAGAACAGGAACTTTGGGACTCAGAGAAAATGGGGAAAGTAATCTAATGGATTCAGATTATCAGTGAAATGGTGATGTGGATTACAGCACATCTGGTCATATCTTGGTGTCACCACAGTTTCAAATGTCCTTCCAGTAAACAGAAAACGTGGCTGAACATCTAATGCAGGTATAAGAACAATGGAGGTAAAGTTGTAAAGGTTTAAAGAACAATCTCAATGCACAAGAGGCTTTTGTCTGTAATTATTCAGGAAGTTTTTTTTCTTATTCTTCTGTTAATTTCATGGCAAGTTGTTTTAGATCTTAATTCTTTCAAAAAATTACATTAGCATAGTTAGATATTAGCTCTTTGAGTTGTAATATGTGTTTTTTTTTACTGTATATTGTGTTGTAATCAACAGGAAAATAATGCCATAAGCATGTTTACAGTTTCTCTGTTCACTACTAAATTCTTTTCAAAGTATTTACATCACTGCTCATTTGAATGTGATCAAAATTAGGAATCTTGCATACTTATACTGTATATTGAACAATGATGTAGGATAAGATTGAGAAACCTATCTGTATGTTCATTTAGCATATCGATTTCAGCCAAATTTGGAAGACTTGATCATCTGATCTTTTGCACTACACACAAAATAAATATGCAGTCTCTTAAAAAGCCAATACTTGCACAAGTCAATAAATAATATTGTAATATAATATTCAGTACATAGCTCAAAAGTTGCTTCTGGTTTGAAACAATATTTTCCAGGCACACTTACTTATTATTCCTTCGTACGAAATACTCTTGTGTTAACATGCTAACAAAGGATTCAGGAGGCAAACTTATTTGATTATATCTGGACAGTCTTCGACTGAAACAGATCAACACCCAACTAAGAAGCAGTCAAACTCGTGGAATGTTTTTGACCCAAAAAGCCTTTTGCATTTTGAAACATTTCCAATACATCAGGCCTTCTCAGTGAGATCATTCCAAAATGTTATGTTCTGTTTGAGAAACCACAAAGTAAATAGCAGCAAATCAGTGTAATCTGCAAGCTGTGTGTTATTTCAGTAATGAAATATATTCTACTTCCATGGTATCTACAAGCCAATGGGCCTAGAGAGCAGAGCAAAGTTTCATTCATTGATCCTCACAATGAGCCACCTTTGGAGTGGGGGTGGAAGCACACATTGGTTCCCTTTCCCACTCATGGGGAAATTACAGCACAGAGACGAGACTCCAGAAATCTAAAATAACTGGCTGAAAGTGAAAAATGCCATGAATGAGTGGACCAGATATTTGAGTGAATTTAAGCAACTATTTCATTTGGTTTTTCTTTGAATTAAATTTTGAACTTTAATGGACTGTGATTTTGATACCATCAAAATGTAAATTAAGATATAAAAAAATGACCCTTCTGCTCCAGTATGATTCTTTCTTCCTTGCTTGGATCTTCGGTGCTCATATACCATCCAGAGAAAGGAGAAAAGAGAAAAGAAAAGCAAAGAAGGCACTAGGCCTTTGCTTTGGTAGCTCAGCAAAGGATCACCCTCATCCTCCGGCTTGGTTCTGTGTTTTATCACTAGGGTCAAAGGGTCAGACATTTGACCTTGTGGCACAATGAAGACTTCTAGTCTCGCAGTCTTGGCTTTCATTCTTGCTAGACTTTTCTTTGCCTGTTAAACGTTTGAAATAACTAGTTTTGAATGCAGGCTATTTTATCATAGCTTTCCGGGATGGGATTTTTTTAAATGAAAGATATTAGCATTTCAAGTCTTGATTTCCAAGTTCTGTAGTGTGCACTCAAATTCCAGAATTTGACTCTGAGTAGGTCCAAGATGCACTTAATTTCTTCCCCTGACAAGACTTACACTTGAAGGTGTAAAGCTTAACACTTCACTTCTTATTGATTTACTGCATACATTTTAGTCTTGGTGAATTTCAGTTTATTTTTAATCAGAATGACCCGCCGACCAATACTTGGACCTGTGCACAGCAATGAGTGGTTTCTTCTCTCAGAGGGAATGTGTCTTTGGAGCAGAGTTGGAATCTCCAGAGTTAGAATTTGCAATGAAATGGTATGATCAGAACTTAATTGTGATTTTAAAGAATAAAAGAGTTACTCAATTTCTTGAGGCATTAGTATTTGTCAGTAAACTCCATTTTTATTGTTGTTGTATTGTTTTGATTTTTTTTGAAAGGAATCTGAAACAAGGTTTTCAGAGTAAAGTAGGCAGTGGGAAAAGTGTAAAAAATAAAAGCTAATAGTTGATCAACTAGACTTTCACATCAAGTGACTTCTACGAGTGGAAAAGAACGTTTCTGTAGGAAAAAATTGGTCATTCAGTCTTGCATTACAACAGACTGTGTCATCATATTCTTCTGGCTTCCCAGAAGAAGCAATTTTCCTAGGCTTTAAGAAACACTGACGGATTAAGTCCAATCTTTTTTCCAAAGTTTTTCCACTAAATACTTAATGAAAAAAAACATGAGGCAGAAATAAAGCTTCAGCCATTTCACTTCATCTTCGTCTTCTGTCAGTTCTTCTGTTGCACTCAATTTCCTTTCAACTTTAACGTGTGCTTGGTTGGCTGTTCTTCATCTTTGCTATCCATTCTGTCAATTCAAATAATCTTGTGTCTTAAAAATAATCAATCCAAATTAGTAATCTGTGGACATTTAGATGCCCAATTTTGGGGACAGGAATTTTTCTTTTTCAATTGGTATGTTGCTGGTGCACAAAAATAAAAGACCAAGAAAAAGCTGTTGATCGGAGTTGATAGTTAATTCCTAATAAAATTACAAGAATTGATTGTGGATGTCAAAGGACATAATTGATACATGAGTATAAAAGCCAAAGGTAAGTATAGACCATATAACTCTGAATATAACACCAGAGTTAGGAACGCCAAGCACGCTGTGTATGCAAGACACGTCTTGTATTTAGTGACTTTTGTCCTGCATCCCGTATGGACTTTATTAAGATGCCCTAAGTGTCTTGCATTTTATTTTTTTCAAATTACAAAATTGCATAGGAAATTCAAAAAAAACTTCATATTTAACTGGATGTCTTGTATATTTATTTGCTAAGTCTGACAACTCTACAGACAGTATTCTCATAATCCCAAACTATGCTCATCTCTAGAAGAGCAACAAGCAAGTGTCCTTTCATTTTGGAAGCTGTGGTTTTCATAACTACTGGTAGGAGAGAAAGGGGATATTTCAAGAAGATGTTTTCCTAGCTTGCCCAATTAGTAAAAGTAAATTTTAGTCAAATATAGGGGGTCTTTGATACATTCTGTTCAGTGTGGAGCAGCATACTCTCTGAGCTTGTGTGCCAAGGAAAGGCCTAGAACAATAGGCTCAATGTCCTCATCCACGTGGTATTCAGGAGCCCTGATTCCCAACCTCCTGTTGGAGAATAAGGTCAATGGCTTTTGTATTCCTCGCCAATACTGAACAGGCAAAGCCAAATTGAAGGAGTCAACCTCTAAGTCCATCACCAAGTTTTCCTTGTTTGGTAGCTCCTACCACATGATGCAGTACTTAACTATGATCTTATCTTTATTCAAGGCTAAATCTTATCTAGTATCCATGCCTTCCCACCCCCTTAAGATATGCAATTTCACCCTACTAAATTATTCAAGTAAAAAAAGGTGGAACCCACTCAAAATTAGACTCCAAGAGAGCCACCTCAATTGATTATAGAGTACCTATTCCCTAAAAAAAAAGAAAAATCAGAAGTTGTTGACGCTGAGCTAAGAAATGTGACCACTTGGCAATAATAGTAATAATTGTTACTATTACAAATGTCATTAATA